TGAATGTTCTTTATTCCAATTTTTCTCCTTTATCTGGATAAAGCTTTTTCTTCCTTCAGCCCCCTATTTAAAAAAAAAAAAAAAAAAACATTGAAGGGCTGGAGAGATGGCTCCGTGGTTAAGAGCACATACTGCTCTTGCAGAGGACCCAAGTTCAGTTCCCAACACCCACACTGGGCAGCTCACAACCTGTGACTCCAGCTTCAAAAGCATCCACCACCTCTGGCCTCTGAGAGCACCCATACTTATGTGCACCCACCACATATACACCCCCATACACGTAATTTAAAAGAAAAACAAATAAAAGCAGGCCAGGCATTGTATTGCACACCTTTAATCCCAACACTCTGGCAGCAGAGACAGGCAGGTCTCTGAATTCAAGGTCAACCTCGTCTACATAGGGAGTTCCAGGACAGCCAGAGTGTCTATATAATGAGACCCTGTCTCTAATAAACAAACAAACAAACAAAAAGCATTAAAGTCTAGGGAAGTGACTCATTAGGTCAAATACTTGTTGGCAAGTGAGAAGACAGGAGTCAAGGTTCCCAGTATTCATGTAAAAGTAAGAACATGACAGCCCATCTGTAATCCTAGTGAATGGCACGCACGGAGACAGGTGATTTGAGCAAGCTGGCTAGCCAGACCAGCCAGAATGGTGATCACAGTAGACACCTGATACAAACTTTGGGCCTCTACACACACGTGTACATAAAAACAAACACACATACAACATATCACACACACACACATACGTACAAAAAATAGAACTGAAAAACAGTAACAAATTCAAGATTACCACGGAGGAAGGCATGGTATTTGGGAGGAAGGGGAGAAGTGAGAGAGAAGTCGTAGCAATATCAATTACAATTGTGAAGCACCTGTCTGACTTCTTTCCTTCCTTCTTTCTTTCTCTGTTTATTATTTCCCTTTATGTGGTTCTGGAAATCAAATCCAGGGCCTTTCACAAGCCAGTCAAGAGCTATACCACTGAGCCACATCTCCGACTCAATATTTGATTTCTTAAGCTGATATGAGCACATGGAAATTTGTTGTAATATTGTTTCACATTTGAAATATTTAGTTTTATTTATTTGTTTTTTATTTTTAGAGGTAGAGTCTCATGTAGCTCAGGCTGACTTCCAATTCACTATCTAGCCAAGGATGACTTTGAACTCCTATCCTGCCTCCGCCTTCTGAGTGTTGTGATTACAAGCACATGCCACCATAACCAGTTTATGCAGTGCTGGGGATTGAACCCCAGGCTTCATGCATGCAGTCCACCAACTGAGCAATATCCCAGCCTGAAATACTCAATTTTAAAATGTTTTTCTTTAATTTTTCTTTATTTTCATTTTATGTGCATGAGTATTTTTCCTGCATGTATGTACATGTACCTGTGTCATGCAATGCCCACAAAGGCCAGAAGAGGATGTCAGATCCCCTGGAACTGGAGTTATGGACAGTTATTAGCCACCATTTGGGTGCTGGGAACTGAATCCAGGTCCTTTGGAAGAGCAGTCGGGGCTCTTAACTGCTGAGCCATCTCTCCAATCCCTAAAGTGTTTTTTAAATAATTGATTTCTAAATTTTTATTTTACCTTTTAAATTTTTACTTTTTATTTATTATTTTTATGTTATATGTATGAGTGCATTGCTTACATGTATGGGAGTACACCCATGTTGTGCAATGCCCACGGAGGTCAGAACAGGGCATCAGATTACCCTGGAACTAGAGTTACAGACAGTTGTTAGCTGCCATGTGGGTGCTGGGAATCAAACCCAGGTCCTCTGCAAGAGCCCAGTGCTGAGCTATCTCTCCAGTTTCTTCATTCATTCATTCATGTATTTATTTATTTATTTATTTATTTATTTATTTATTTATGTATGTATGTATGTATGTATCTACATGTGTGTGGGTATGGACCTGCCATGGAGAACATGTGGAGGTCAGAGACAAGAGTTGGATGTTTTTTATGTGTATGAATGTTTTGCTTTCATGTATCTAAGCGCATCAGTGTTGCGCAATACCAGCAAAGGCCAGAAGGGGCCTTGGTCCCCAGGAACTGGTGTTACATATAGTTGTGAGCTGCCATGTGGGTGCTGGGAACTGAAACTAGGTCCTCTGCCAGAGCAGCCAGTGTACTCAAGCTCAAGTAGTGGGCCATCTCTCCAGCCCCTGGCCTGAAATGGCAAAACTGATTCCATTTTATTCTGGCTGACTTTCTCTTATCCTATATTTCTGCCAAACTGACCCCCTGCTCTTGCTGTACTGATTGAGTCAGTCAGGCGAATCTCATGAAGGCAGAACAGTCTGAAATACAGGAAATGAAACTAGTTAGACAGTTCTCTCTCCCAGCTATACCTGAAACGCCAGGGAACCCATTGTTTCTGCAATTCTGAGAAACTTTGTTTTTCTAACTGAAACTTAGAAACATTTGTCAACTGAAAATCTCTTTTTAAAAAAAAAAATTTTTATTTATGCCAGGTGTGGTGGCGCACGCCTTTAATCCCAGCACTTGGGAGGCAGAGGAAGGCAGATCTCTGTGAGTTCGAGGCCAGCCTGGTTTACATCATGAGTTCCAGGACAGCTGGGGCTACAGGGAGATCCTGTCTCAAGACATATATACATACATACATATATATATGTATATCTATATATTATTTATTATTTTTATTTTGTGTATGCGTGTATTGCCTGCATGTAGGTAAGCGTGCCCATGTCATGCAATGCCCGAGGAGGACAGAAGAGGCTGTCAGATCTCCTGGAACTGGAGTTACAGACAGTCGTTAGCTGCCATGTGGGTGCTGGGATTCGAACCCAGGTCTTCTGGAGAGATGGCTCAGTGGTTAAGAAAACCTCTTTTTTAACGGACCTGCTTCCAGCCTGGTGTAACTTTAGTTATCTGATGTAATTATGGTTATTGGTTTTGCCCCTGGCATGATGTAATTGTTGTTTTAAGCATTATAAACCCTTCTCTGTTTCTCCTCTGGGTCGAGAGGGCTTTTGGACATGAGCCCCTCTTGACCACCCGATAATTCAAGGACTCTTATTTTGACCATCAACTATGTGGCATTCTTCTGTGCCTCATGCTCGGTATTCCATGGCCCATTAGTTTTAAAGTGTTTTTAAAAACCAGTAGTTTGGGCTGGCAAGATGGCCAGGCTGGTAAAGGTGCTTGCCTCAGAGCCTGACAACCTGAGTTCAAATCAATTCTCACAGGTAGTTCTCTGACCTTCATGTGTGTACCATAGTGCACGCACACACAATAAATAAATAATAAATAAATACACAAATAAATGAATAATTAAATGTACAAAAAAGTTTTTAAAATCCAGCAGTTTGCAGCTGAATCCAGAGAGGAAAAGTGTTAACATGAACTGAAGGCGGGCACATGAGGACTCCAGAGCACGGAGCATGGAGCACTGAGCATAGAGCACTGAGCGTGTCCCAGAGACCACTGAGACTCTGAGATTTGAGGTCTTACTGGGCCTGACAAAATGGTCAGAGAGGCACATTGGGAAAATGAAGGTCTTGGAGACAGATATATATTTATGCCAAGGGCTTTAGAAAACATCTTTTATTACATTTATTCGTATGGGAGGGGGTATGCGTGTGTCGATCAGAGGACAACTTGCAGGAGTTAGTTCCCTTCTTCCACAAAACTCAGTCGTCAGGCTGGACAGCATGTGTCTTTATCTGATAAGCCATCTCACTGACCCCAAGAGTTTTATGTCTTCTGCAACTTGCAGATTACTCCTATGAATGGAAGACAAGCATGAGTCTTGGAAGCTTGGGGGTTGGAGGATGGTGAGAATTGAACTTTCCTTCACGGAACTCCAATTCTCTCAACCACAAATTATAGCAGACACTTCCCTTTAAGGTAGGTGTGAAAATTGACTGAGAAAGGGCCTGAAGGTCTGGGGATAGCTTACTTGGTAAAGTGCTCACCTAGCATGCACAAAACCTGGGGTTCAGTCTCCCCAGAACTGCATAAACTGGGCACTGTAGTTCATGCCTGTAATCCCAGTGTTGGAGAGGCAAAGACAGGAGAGTCAGAAATTCAAGGTCACTCAGCATGGTGGATATGCCTTTAAACCCAGAATTTGGGAAGCAGAAGCAGGTGGATCTCTGTGAGTTCAAGACCAGCCCAGTCTACATATCGAGTGTCAAGACTGCCAGGGCTACATACTAAGAACATGTCTAAAAGAGAGAAAAAGAAATTCAAGGTCATCTTGGCTACATGGTTGAATTCCAAGCCAGCCTGGGCTATATGTCTCAAAATATTTAAAAATCTTAAAATGGCTTGGAGCAGGTGTTTCATGTTGGAAGAAATTATCATTATTAACCAATTTTTCCCTTCTCCTGGGGCTCTTAGGAGGATGCCGAGAAACCAAAGGCTTTAGAAAAAATCCTCAGCAATAAAGCCACAAACAAGAAAGAAATGGAGAAAGTGAATGCTTCCTTCACCCTCCAGGACAAGGTCCTTGAACGGCTGTTGTTCAGTGAGATGAAGCTGAAGGTCTTAGAATATCAGATGTTCATCATATGGAATAAAATGAACCATCACCGGTGGAACAGCAGACACCGGAACTTCTCTAGGAGGAGGGACAGGAAAAGGAGGAACGAGTCCTTTTTCTCTACCATCTCTAACTGTACTACCAACTCCCCCACTGAATGTGATTGACATGGGCAAGTCTCTTGCTGATGTGATCTTGACCGATGTATGAGTATGGTTTTGTTGGTGGTGGTGTTGCTGCTCTAACATAATACCTGAGCCTGGAAACTTTATAAAGAAAAGGGCTTTGTTTAGTTCAAGTACTGGAGGTCTAAGAACATGGTGCTAGCAATGGCTTTATGTGAAGGCTTCAAAGAGGATGGCATCACATAATGAGAAGGGTAGGGAGGAGACGGGGGGAGGAAGAGAAGGAGAGAGGGAGAGAGGGAGAGAGGAGAGGGAGAGAGGCCACATGGTGAGAAAGGAAGAAAGAGTCAAGAAAACCTAACCTCTCTTGTGGATGTAGGGATGTAGCTCAGTGGTAGATTACTTCCCTAGCATGCCCAAGGCACACACGTTTAATCCCAGCACTCAGAAGCAGAGGTGGGCAGATCTCTGTGAGATCCAGGCCAACTTGATTTATACAGTGAGTTCCAGGCCAGCTGGGGCTACAGGGAAACCCTGTCTCAAAAAGACAAAACAAAAAAAAAGGAAAGAAAAAGGAAAAAAAACAAACAAACAAACCACCATTCTCTTTGGCTTAGCAGGTTAAAAACAAACACTTGCTATGTACCCTGACAACATGGGTTCAGTTTCTGGAATCCTTGTGATAGAGAGAACTGACTCCCACAAGTTGTCCTGTCCTCCGTACACGTCATTTCATATGTGAGCCTACATATACTAGAACACACGCTAAAAGTAAATAAATGTAATGAAAAGTAAAACAAAACAAAAACAAAAACTCTCTCTTGAGGCAGCCATCCAGTCCCAAGAAACCTACCCAACCTCCTGAGTTGTCATTAATCTCCTCCAAGCGTGATGCCCCAGTAACCTAGTCACCTCCCACAAGGCCTCCCAACAAGTTCCTTGGGAACTTAAAAAAGTTTCCAACACTTCTCAGCGCCAGTCCCCTGGGGACCAATTCTCTGGTATTCAAAGCTTGGCTGGAGGAACCAGGCCAAACCACATTGATTAGCAAAACTCAGGAGGAGGTTGTGGGAATATTCTTCAAGTTCCAGGCTATAGAGGACCCTAGGAGCTGGGAGAGGCTGAAAGGTGGTTTCTGGAAAATCAACCTGTCAAGTAACCTGGCCTGACAGGGCCCTAGGGACCACCCTGTTCTCTTCCCATGTTCCTCCTACTCAGGTCCAGACCCTAAGTTTGCTCCTCTGTAGTGTCCCCCATGTCACTTTCACCTCTGTCCTGCCATGTTCCTTGTCCACTCCTGAGCCAACATCTTATGACCATGGTTGACAATAAAACCCCCACTCCCTGAGTGGTGTTCAGGACCTGCCCAGTTTCCTTCCCCTAAATCTGATAGAGGGTCCTCAGCTTCAGATCCTTGGCTACTGCCTTCCTGATTTTATCTGTGAAAGAAAATAATTTCTCTATATCCATATCTATATCTAGATCACCTATATCTATATTATCTATATCTATATAAACTGGGGCTAGAGGGATGGCTCAGTGTCTAAGAGCACTTGGTTGCTCTTGCAGAGAACACAGGTTTGGCACCCAGCACCCAACTGGCAGCTAATAACCATTTGTGACTCCAGTTCCAGGGGATCTGACACCCTCTCTGGTCTCCAAGGGCACTGCATGCACATGGTACAGTTACATACATGTAGGCAAAACACTCAAACATATAAATAAAAATAAAATAACAATTTTTTAATTTAAAATATATATCATCAGGGAATGGTATGATAAGAATAGGAGGTAGGAATTGGCTAGGCAGTTAGGGTAAAAAGACCCCAAAGAAATGTAGCCAGTTTCTTGGCTGAAAATCCAAATGTCCTTGGGCCCTCTTAGCAACATACTCTATTCCTAGGGTCAAAAATGTCAAAAGTATTTGGGAGCTCTTATCTAATCCCTAAAAGATTTTAGGGTTATCTCTTCAGAGAGGGGAATGTTAGAGTAGCAAAAAGCCCCATTAAAAAAAAAAACAAAGAATACATGAACAACAAAGGGTTCAGGAAAAAGTGATGGGGAGATAGGGGAGGAGTTGGAGGGGAGGGAGTGGGTGTGGATTTGATCAAAACACCTTATATGCATGTATGAAATTCTCAAGAAAAATTTTTAAGAAGTTAATATATACATACACACATACACACACACATTTTGTATACATACATATATATATATAATTGGAGAGATAGTAGAGTTTGGGTTGAGAAATAAGACTGGAACCAGGGAAGCTGGCATCAGTTGGAGCCCAAGAGGGACCAGAGAACGTCGTGTGGAGAATGACAACAAACCAAATGCCTGATGCCCAGAAACTCCCGCTGGTAACCAACAGGGGAATGATCGTTCATTGACGTTCATTGGCATTGTTGTGGTCCAAGAAGAATTTGCCATCCTCATCAGAATATCACTCAAGCGATGAGCCTGTGGGGCTTGAGATCACTGTAGTCTGACGTCACTCAAACAGCTCTGCTAAAGTGTAGTCAACACTAATCAAAAAGCAGATGACCTTCTTGAATTTCAGGCTGTCCCAAGTGATCCAACCTAAACTGCCATATACTAGCTAAGTTCAGATGTGTCACATCAAGAATATGCTAGATTAGGGTCTAGCAAGATGGCTCAAAGGGTAAAGACCTTTGCCTCCATGCCTGACCACCTGACTTCGATCCCCAGATCCTGTGTGGTGGAAGGAGAGAACTGACTCCCAAGAGTTGTCCTCTGACCTCCACGTGCATACTATGGTGTTGTATGTGCACATGAGCATACATACAGATGTAAATAAATATTTTTGTAAAAAGGAATAAAAGCCGGGCGTGGTGGCGCACGCCTTTAATCTCAGCACTCAGGAGGCAGAGGCAGGCAGATCTCTGTGAGTTTGAGGCCAGCCTGGTCTACATAGCAAGTTCCAGCCCAGCTGGGGCTACAGGGAGACCCTGTCTCAAAAAGACCAAAGGCGGGGGGAGGAATAAAAAAAAACCAATATCATCCATGGCCAGGGAGATCCCAGGCTCCAGAGAGGAACATGCTACTGTTGTTTTGTTGATGGGCACACTGTCAAACAGCCTTATAACATTATATTTATACCCATAGGTTACTGCCACCCTCTCCTTTGCTTTGAGAAACTTCTTTTTGCAGTGGGCAGTGTTTAGTGGAGAGATTCATAACATCAAAGTGCTGAGCATTAGTGACTGCTGAGGGCTTAGCTCCAAACTGGACATCCATATCACCTTCTCCAAGGCTCAGGAACATCATGAAAGAGGGGAAGAAAGACTGTACGAGCTGGAGGATGGGGAGGAATGCTGTGAAACACCATCTTGTAGCCATGACACACCCTTGCACTCATGAACTCACAGCACAGAAAAGAAAGAGCAAACCAATGAGATGGTTCAGTAGGTATGAGCACTTGCTGCCAGATGTGCTGGAGAGCTCTAGTTGTCAACTTGACACACTTGGGTAGAGGAAGCCTTAACTGATCAATTGCTTCCATTGGACTGGCCTGTGGTCAGGTTTGGGGGCATCTTCTTCATTGTTGAGTGATGTGGGAGGGCCCAGCCCACTGTGGGCAGTTCCACCCCTGGGCAGGTTGTCCTGTATTGTATAAGAAAGCAGGTTGAGAGCCAGGCATGGTGGAGCATGCCTTTAATCCCAGCACTCAGGAGGCAGAGGCAGGCAGATCTCTGTGAGTTCAAGGCCAGCCTGGTCTACATAGTGAGTTCCAGGATAGCTGGGGCTACAGGGAGACCCTGTCTCAAAAAGACAGAAAAAAAAAAAAAAGCAGGCTGAGCAGGGGCCAGGGGAGCAAGCTAGTAAACAGCATTCCTCCATGGCCTGTGCTCCAGCGCCTGCCTCCAGGTTCCTGCCTTGAGTTCTTACCTTGGGCTCCCAGATGAACTGTGACACGGGATATGTAAGCTAAATAAACCCTTTCCTCCCCAAGATGGTAGTGGTCAGAGTGTTCTGTCACAGCAACAGAGAAACAAACTAGAGTACCTGATGCCCTGAGTTTGCTCCCCGGGACCCACATGGGGGAAGGAGAGAACTGACTGACAAGTTCCCTATGACTTCCACATGCCCACTGTGACACTCAAGCCCCTTCTCCATGTGCAAAGTAAATAAAATGTAATAAAAATTTTATTTATTTCCTTTTACTTTATGTGTATGAGTGTTTTGCCTGCATGCAAGTACACCCGTGTGGTGCAATGCCTGCAGAGGCCAGAAGAGGGCGTCAGATCCTCTGGAATGGATTTGTGGGAAGTTGTTAGTTGTTAGGTGCTGGGAACTGAACCCGGGTCCTCTGGAAGAGCAACCAGTGCTCTTAACTGCTGCGTCATCTCTCCAGCCATGTAATAAAAATGTTTAAAGAAGAAAAGAAAAAGATATTGAAAGTGGGAGCAGGAATTGTCGGAAAGAGGGGTCCAGAAGTACAGGGAGGGGGAAGGAGAAGAATGGGGGTTTATTGTGCTCAAAATGCATTATGCACATGCATAAATTTGCCAAAGAACAAATTTTAAAATATTTGTAAAATAAAAGCTGGTCCAAGACTCTCTTGGGATCAGAATCCCTTGGATGTCAGAAAATACCATGAAAACAAGAAAGATTGGTTCACAGAATTAGCCGATACCATCACTGGTCCACAAAGCCTGCTTCGACAACTCATTTTACGACAGATTGTCTCCTGTACACATCCTGACTCCTGGCATCTTCTGTCTGTACTCCCTGTCAGATGATGGGGATGGGGCCGTTCCTGGTCTGCAGCTGTTTGGCCCTGTGTTTGAAAGGCACATGGCTGTGCTTTCAGAAGGGACCCCATAAAGAATGGCAAGATGTTGAAGATTTTGTTAGGGTTGCAGGCTGTGATAGGGGAAGAGCGGCCCCCGCCCAACACTCATTCCCAGGGGATGTGGTTCCCATAGAGTAAGACTGCTGTCACAAGACAAACCCGCGGCAGGGGGTGAGTCTGTCCTGAAGTTGACATTTGATACTGGTGCAGTAGAAAATGGCTTCTC